TATCTCAACGACAAGCAACTACCAGAATAATAGTAGAAACCAAATGAAAAATAATAAGAAAAACCTTTTTGAAAACAGTTAAACATCAATTATACTCAATCAGTAAGTCAGCCATTGTTACCTGACCGGTCAGCCATTGTTACCTGACCAACGCGTACTCCAGTGTCATTGTTACCACTGGTCAATCATAGTTATCTGACTGGTCAGTCATTGTTACCTGACCAATCACATTTAACAGTGTCATTGTTACCACTGTTCAATATTAAATCACTCTAGATGGGTACCCGCACTCACTGTGGGTTTGCAGACTCCGGAGGGGCTCCTACAGCCCAAGCGCTATCAACAAGGCCTGAAAGCCTGAACAGTATCAATACGAGGCGTGGAAGCCTCCTCACCTCACTCATCATGCCCTCACACAAGGCCCTCGGCCTTAATCAGTCCAGAAATTGTCAACAGCCCCTCGAGCAACAGTAAAACAATAATACTCAGCTCAAACAATAGTTCAAATACTAGTTTAAAACTCCAAGTTGAGTAAATATGGTTGAGTTCAAGAAACAGTGTAAATCACATGGACTGAGTTCAAATAATATTTCTAACAGTGAGGAAAAACAGTGATGATAGTTCATAAAGAGTTCAAACAGTCGGCAATAAGCCCCAAATATAGCAATAAGCCCAAATCATGGTGAAAACAACAAGTCATTGCTAATACGCGGTAAAATATCATCCGGACTGGACCAAGTCACAGTCCCCAATAGTAAATGACCCCGCGCTCATCATGGAACGCGTGTCTCAACTCAACATAGCACCAAGTTGTGCAAATCCGGGGTTTCAAACCCTCAGAACATCATTTAAAGTCATTACTCACCTCTAGCCGGCCGATAACCTAGCTCGCCAAGCCTTTCCCTCTCGAATCGACCTCCTCGCACGTAGGATCTGACCAAAGCCACAAACGATACGTCACAATAGGCTAACAAATCGTAAACCAATCGAAAAGACTCGAAAAACAACCAAAATCACGAAGTTGGCAAAACCCGAGCCCCGGGCCCACTTCTCGAAAAATTACGAAATTCACATCACCGGGATCCTCGTCTCGCCACGAGTCCGTACATATAAAATACACAAGAATCGGAGTCCATTTGACCCCTCAAATCAACAATTCAAACCTTCTTAGGTTTCAAGCCCTAACCTCCATTTTTACCCCTTTAATTCCTTGAATTTCAGTGTTTAAATCCTTGTTTTTACACCATAACAACATTATTCGAGTCTATAAATTCATACCTGATGGAATCCCCTTCAAATCCTCTCCAAATCGCCTAAAATCGCCTCTTTCCGAAGTCTAAAATATTTTTCTTAACTTCTGAAATTCGCGAACACTGTTCATTAAACACAGTCCAGATTTTCGCTTCTGCGGCCCTTTAACCGCACCTGCGGTACCGCTTATGCGACAAATTGACCGCTTATGCGGTCTCACTTAAAACACCTGGGACCGCTTATGCGATCCAAACACCCGCTTATGCGGTTTACCTCCAACCGCTTCTGCGGTATATTAACCGCTTATGCGGACTCGCTGAAGCGCCTACACGTCCGCTTATGCGGAAAAATCCCTGGGCCACCTGCCCGCTTCTGCGACCTCTCCGCCGCATCTACGGAACCGCTTCTGCAGCTCCTTTTCCGCAGATGCGGAAATACCAGAAGACAGAAAAATATGACCTGCAACAAATGCTTCCAACTCCCGTTTAACCATCCGAAGTCACCCCGAGGCCCCCGGGACCTCAACCAAAAGCACCAACACATCCTATAACCTTATTCAAACTTGTTCCAATCCTCAAAACACGTCAAACAACGCTAAAACCATTAAATCACATCGGGTTCAAGCCTAAGTTTCTTAAAAACTTCCGAAACTCACATTCGATCAAAAACCCAACCAAACGACGTCCAAATGACCTGAAATTTTACCCGCACATCCAAAATCACCTAACGAAGCTACTGCAACTCTCGGAATTCCATTCTGACCCCCGGATCAAAATCTCACCTACCAACCGGAATTCGCCAAAATTCATCATTCGCCAATTCAAGCCTAATTCTACACCGGACCTCCAAATTAAATTTCGATCGCACTCCTAAGTCACTAATCAACCCCCGAAGCTAACCGAATCATCGGAATTCACATCCGAGCCCTCTAACTACATAGTCAACTTCCGGTTGACTTTTCCAAAACAAGCTTCCTTCTAAGTGGCTAAGTGCCTCATTTCCAACTAAAACCAATCCCACTCTACCCCGATCAACTCAAACGCTGATATTGAAACATAAGGCAACACAATATGGGGGAAACGGGGCGGTAACTCTCGTGACGACGGGCCGGGTCGTCACACCTATCATCTGTTTATAGAATTTTCATTAACAACATAAACACTCGTTCAAAAAACCTAAAAATACAAATGTAAAAGTAAAACTAATGAAATCATCAAACTAAACCCTATCATAAATACATGACTATCAAAACCCAAAATCAGAAATTAAATCGTAAAATAAAACCCAGAAAGTTAATGCAATGTATCTCTGATTAAATTGTAATGTGGGAACAACGACGACTAGCAGTTGAAAATTCGAAACAACAACGAAAACCGTTTGATTTCAGAGAAGAGCAAATCAAAAAAACGCGAATAACGGGAGAGAGAGACAGAGACAGTAGAGGACTAGCGTATACTTGGAGAGAAAGTAGTCTTTTAATAAAGAAGGGCAAAATAGTCTTTTCAAATGGCTTTTAACAAAAAAAACGGGTACGGGTGCAAACAGAAAGACAAAGCGACTACAGGTTAAAAAAGGGCGTCCGCCCAAATAGGGCGCCCCGTGCAATTTTTATGTTAGGTTAGGTGCATGCAATGTTCAAATTTACCACTCTGTTTTACCTTTTGCTCCCTTTCCCTTCCTTATTTTTTTTTTACACTCAAACAAAATGACCTTTCTCCTACAGTAATTGGCCAACTACATGTTACAAGAGCAAGGTGGGATTTCGGGTATCAGTTATCAGAGTGCCGCCACATCATATCATCATCTCCTCCGCTATCCGACCCGACCCGTACACTTCCTCTCCCTCCCTCCCGCCCTTTCTTGATTTCCGATAACCCCCAACTAAAAGAAGGGGTAAGAACCTCGACTCTTTATACAAATTGAACGGTTGAGCTTATTATTTACACAAACCTTTTTGATTCATTGCCACCATTATTCTACAGAAAATCAAAGAAATGGGGAGCTCAAATGTTGGGGTGTCGGACGATTCCACTACCATCTCTGATGAAGTTGGTGGAACCCCTCATGATACTGAAATTGACGTGGTTGACTCCAGTCGTTTTCAAGAAGGTGAAAAAGTACTCGCCTTTCATAGCCAACAACTTTATGAAGCTAAGGTACACACTCCTCCTACCTTTTCTTACTTTTAGCCATTTTGCATTTGGGTAAACAAAATAGACATGGATTTTTTTTGACTTGTATGTTTTTAATGTTGTTCCTATCTAAGGGTAGATTGTTATTTTCTCAACTAAAGAGGGCAGCCAATTGCACTAAGCTCCCTTTATGCACGGGGTCGGAGAAGGGCCGGTCCACACGGGTCTATTGTACACAGTCTTACCCTACATTTCTGCAAGAGGCTGTATTCACGGCGTAGAACCCGTGATCTCCTGGTCACATGGCAACAATTTTACCAGTTACGCCAAGACTCCCCTTCTTATTTTTTCAACCAATGATTTAAATAAGAAATTTGATTGAGTGGGATTGTGAGAAGGCTTTAAAAAATTGAGATGATAAGGGATAAGATTATAAGATATATAAGGTTACAAGAGAGAGATAGAAGATCACGAGAGATATGATTAAGGAAGATATACGAATAGACCCTTAGGGATCATTTTGGTACGAGAGATAAAGGGATAATTAATCCTGGAATTAAATTTGAATCCCATGTTTGGTTGGGATAAAATCGTGGTATAGCTAATCCTGGGATTAGTTATTCTGGGATTTTAGTGTTTTCTTATTCCCATGGAAGGGTAGGATAATTTGTAATAAACTCAAATCCAGAGTAAAATAACTGAAACCTCTCTACTCTATTATTAAGGCTGAAATGTGACTACAACTCCAATATCAAGATGCAACAACTTAGTAGCAGAATTACAATAGTAATTGCAGGAAGTAAAGTAACTAGAGATGGATAGAAGAAGGGGATGAGAAGGTTAGACTTAAAGAATAGGAGACGAGGAGAAGCAGAAACTTTTCTCAACAACCGGCATACCCCCCAAAATCACCGATCGCTACTCTTTTTAGTAGAATTGTTCTTGGGCTCATTGCTCAACCCGGATCCCAAATTAGCCTGGCCCTATTGCTTGTTCTCGGCCCAATAGCTCTTCTCAGCCCAATAGCTATTTGTGTGTTGATATCCTTATTGGGCTGGAGTTGATTCATAACAATACCCCCGTGCTCAATAAGAACCTTGTCCTAAAGGTTCGAGTCAAGAAGCCTTTCAACCAAAAATAATGGTAAACTAATTGTAGTTATATAAACATCCACAGGTGCAAAGGCATTGGCAAGTCCATTTGCATATAAAAAAGAAACCAGCAGTCACATATGTGCTAGCAACAGTAGTTCGGGTAATGATGTTTACCAAAGCGTCTTCAATGACTAGCACAAACCTTGGTATATATGTTGCGTTGTCGAGCTCATCTCCATCACAAGTAGAAAGGAAAACAAGAACTCCCTCCATAACAAGGGCAAGTTGTGCCACTAGAACCTCTAGCAAAGCAACAAATGCAGCAAATGGTAAGCCTTCAGAGATTTCAAGGCTAGGTATGGCGATTTTGCACAATGAAGGCCACAATGACTTTGCGCTATTATATGCGAATTGTTCATAATCCCTCCTAGCTTTTAAAACAACGAATGTAGATGTATCCTTGGTGAAACCCATATTTTTAAAGTACATAGTTGTATTCTGTGGGCCATAACAATTCTTTGATCTAGAAGCACAATTTCCTTGCCAACACTTATTCTCCGGTATCACAACCCTTAGGTCCATATTTATTAGCTGTCCATTGGATTTCCTACTCAAAGACTATAGACTCAACTATACCCTTAACTTCAGGGTGAATATCTGGAGTGTCAAACTTTCCCAAACAAGCAGTGGTATCAATATTACTACTCTCTTTCATTTTTCTCTGCAGCTCACCTGGTGCACCAGTACCTCTAATGATATCCGCAGAATATGACTCAATAAGGAATGCACAAGTAACTCTAATGCTATCCGCGGAATGTGACTCAATGATGAAATAAAATCCATAAAGTGACAAGCCATATTCTAACTTGGTAATGTCGTGAATAGTTGCTTTCAATTGATGAAAACAAAAATTATCAACAGAGAGAGGCACAATGCATATTGACAGATTAGCTATGGCTTTCAAGATTGCCTAAGAACGCCATCGCTGTCTTCAAGAATTGGTGCATCCGAAGGGCCTCCTCCAGGATCGAAGACGACAATCAATGCAAAAGTAACTTGGGCTCTCAGATTTACCCAGTTTGCCCAACTATAACACCTTGAAGGACTTGTGCAGTTCCTTTCTCTGAGAACTTTGCCAGTAGCATCTAGAACAACACCAAGATGAGGAGAAATGGCTAATGCATCAACACTGAAGTCAGTTGTTGGCCTAGTAAAATAGCAAGTCCAATAATGATCATGCAACCATTGTTGTCTGGGATCCCACACTTGAGTCATAGAGGTAGCATATGCAAAGAAGAAAAATATGCAAGTAGATCCCATCAATAGCAGTGGCTCCCAATTCACTGTATAACCTGTTAGATACTTGGACTTAAAACTTATTCCTGGATCCCACGCACAAAGATCTGCTGCAGTTGCGCGAATGGTTACTATAAAGAAATTAGCACTAGGATCAGCAAAGTCAAGCCTCTCACTGCGAGCAGGAGTTGAATCAACCATTTTGTCGCTTGCTAGAAGCAATAGCGATAGGTGTGATGTTATAAATCCTTTACAACCATTAAACTTTATCGGGAAGTGCTGCGGCTGTAAAGAGATTACGATATCAACACGCCACGATACATGTTTGCATCCACTTGACGCAACCGCAACATTAAGAACTTGAAAGCCATGAGGGTAACCAATAAGCTGGACTTGTCTGAGTAATGAAGACACACACAACTCTGCTATATTAAAGCAAGCCCATAAAACGTGCCCAGTAGCGAAACAACTGTCCACATAACTACAAATTGGTAGCCCATTATCCCTTGCACCCTTGCGATGTGCTGAATACAAGTGACAACCCTTTCGTCGTTTTACAGTCAATAAAGTTGAAACAAGTTCATTTGAAGCATGCTGCCCAGTGTCAAACCAATTACAAGTGTGTAAGACATATTTCAAGTTCATTGCGAGGTCCCTAAAATCATTCAACACCAAGGTTAAAGAGGGCTGTTTGAATATGTAAGGGAAAAACTCGACAATCTCATCATCTTCATCAGCTACTGGTTTATGGATGAGAAGTGAAGTCACTCCCTCATTCCCAATTGGTTCGTCAAAGTGAGCAGATAAAATCTCGGTGGAAACATATTTTGCGGTCTCAAAAAGCGCCACATTTGCAAATTGGCATTGCAGCTTGGTCGTTTTTAGCTCGACACTTTTATCAAAACACTATGTCCGCAATATTCCTGAGCCATGCACCGTCCTTGTCAGCAGGTTCCTTCGGTTGTATAGTTTCCAATAAATCAATTTCAACGCTTTCAGTATTTCCTCCAAGCATCTGAGTAACCGGGAAAGGGAGCCTTGCTGATTTATCAGCTACTAAATCAACCACTATCGGTGGGGCAATGAAGTGGGCATTCGAGTACGCATCATCGACTTTAGGATCGTTCCTTGTGCTGAATAATGATTCTGCAAAGATTGGCATTGCCAGCACTTCAAATTCACCATCCTCGCCATGATGGATACATTTATTTAATAATTCCTTGGCATCGCTGGACGAGTCATTTTGTGAGTGTGGCTGTTCTCCTTGTGAATTTTTATCGAACACTTGGTCCGCCTCAGAATGTCCAGCATCCAAATCAGAGGCAAATGCAATTGAGATAGGAACAGTGCTCATAGAAGGAACGGGACACACCTGGGTATCTGCCATACGTACCGGTCTTGTGAAGGTCAGTGCTCGAAAATGCAACTTCAGCTTCTCCTTGAAATGGTTCCAATCACAGAATTGCTTGTTTCGATACAACCAATCGAACCAAACGAGGGCAGCGCCTTCAAGGTAGAAGTAAGGAAGAGGTAGCCAATATTCCTCGAAGAATCCAAGGAAGTGGAAGTACCGCTCGGCTCGATAAATCCATCCCGTTGCGTCGCTGCTGCTGAAACGATCTAGTATCACCTCGTCCATTGGAGTACGATCGATGAAAGCACCAATGTAATAAACTCAAATCCAGAGTAACAATAACTGAAACCTCTCTACTCTATTATTAAGGCTGAAATGTGATTACAACTCAAATATCAAGATGCAACAACTTAGTAGCAGAATTACAATAGTAATTGCAGGAAGTAAAGTAACTAGAGATGGATGAAGAACTCAAGAAGAAGAATGCTCCCAGGCACCTTTACCGAGACACTTCTCTGTCCTACTTTCTAGGACTGAAGAATAACCTTTTTCGGTGTGATTCTCCACCGGAATTCACCCCAACCTACTGTGATTATTGTTTTAAACTCCAATCGAGTTATCCTATTAATATGGATAGTGATATGATTTATTATCATGCTGGTTTTAAATCTTTTGACATTACAAAAAATTGTTCTAGGTCTGAAGTTTGGTTCGAATGGGTTGAACGTAGCAGGAACCTGATGAGGAAAGCAACTGTAAGCCTTAAAGTCATGAAGTGGGTCGTGGAGGTATTTAATGTGGCCTCAAAAGAGCATGACAGGGCAATAAGGAGGTGGAATATGAAAGATCACTATGCAGAATTTTATTGCACTCTTAAATACAATGAACATGGAAGGTACATCAGTTTCATTGCTGTACAGGGGCAGAGTAGGTCTGTCATTATTACAGCAGAAGTTACATTAAAGGCAGGGTGGGTAATAATAGCTCAAAAGATACAAAGGTTCATAAATGTTCCAGAAGAAGAAAAGTATGTCCATATTGTCAGAAATCCACAGCGGGAGTCGTCCTACAACGAAGTAATCAGAACCAGTAGATGGCCATCAGAAGGGACGAAATCTACTCCGATCAAATCCAACAATTCCAAAGTCATCATCCCTGGGGGTTCAGAATTATCGAATAAAGATGTGCTGAGAAGGTGCATAGTTGGTAAAGTTCTGACTCCTGCGAAGGAGACTCCAACCTTGAATGATATTAGGAGATGGGCCTATAACACATGGAAA